ACTTTTGTCCCTGTTTCTTGTTCAACGACTGTGCAACCCGCGAGAACCAGCGTCGAATTTAGGAGAATTCTTTTAAATTCGTTTTGGGAAAAGAAATTAGGGTTTTAAGTGCTTTTGAATGATTTTTCAAGGAATTTCAGAGGTTCCTTTGAGTCATTTTTCTTAGTGTTTTTGAAATATTTTTGAAGAAGTAGTGTTTGGAGGAATTGAAGAGTCTTTTAAGCTAATTCTTCTTTGGAGAAAATTACTATGAAATCTCTTCAATATTCATTTTTGGTTTTGGTTTTAATTATATTTCTTTCTGCTTTTTTGGAGAAATATTATTCGAGCTTGTTCCAATTGCTCGTGCAAAGATTTGAATTTGTCGAATCTCTCTATAATTTCTAATAATTTCAAATGATGACAATATTAATTTTTAGTTTTACTTTTAATTACATTTTTTCCTACTTTTTTAGTGAAATATTATTCAAACTCTTCCCAATTGCTATGGCAAAGATTTGAATTTATGGAATCCCTTTGTAATTTATAATAACTTAAAACGATGACAATATTAACTTTTGGTTTCAGTTTCAATTATATTTTTTTTCCTACTTTTTCACTCAAATATTTTTCAAACTATTCCAATTGCTCGCACAACGAATTGAACCGCATTAATTAACCAAAGACAAACAGTCTTACATTTTTCCATAGTTCTCCTTTGAACCCCTGAAAATTCAAATGATCGATAATTCCAAATACCAATTTTCACTAATTTCGTTGTTAATCCCAATCTGAAACAATCTCCCGAACTTCCACCCTGAACCGGTAACAATATAAATCTCGGCCACCGATAATTGCACACCTTTAAATTATAACATTACCGCATTACACATCAGCATCGTAAACCATCTCCCAAGGCTGCGACCTATTCCCAGAATAATGCTGTTACAACACGATAAATTACATCAAACCTACACTTATACCACCAAACAATGCGTAACAATTTCCAAAAGCAATAAATCAACACCTAACTAAAATACACGAACGTTCTAACAACACTGTCTTTCTATCAACCCTAATTTATCCGTCCTAACTACTTTGCAGGTAGCAAAACTCATTCAACAAGCTCACGAACTTTTTACTAATTTTTCCCGAGCTTGATTTGGATTTGCACGTGGTGTGCCGACAAAATGAATACTCGAAGGACCACCCAAGATTATCGGGACCAGAATGTTTGAATTTATTTAACTATAACGAGTCCTCTTCCGACACGACATAATTTGATGTCATTTTCATCAGAAAAATCTCATCAACATGTTAAAACAAATTTCAGATGAGAAAAAGTAAAATTAAAGAAATTATATTTTAGAGTGGTGTAGCGTTACACGCTTGACTGGCAGCGAGCGAGATAACATAGGTGCAGCAATGACGCAGCCTAGGCGTAGGGCCATCTATACTGACACTTGTAGAATCCAAACTGACTGACACTTGTAGAGAATTTACTGTAATCGGATAGAAACGAAGAGAACAAGACCTAGTCGTCGCTAATGACCTGAAGGTCGATGCGACGTAAATCTCAAAATAAAAAAAGATATTGTGATTTTAATATACCATATTCAGTATTGCACTGAATAATTAAGAAAGGGAAGCGGTGACACGTTCTCGGAGACGGTACGCGGTACCGATGTCGGATCGGAAGGGTTAAGCTATTGAGGGCGAGAAGGCACGAATGTTCTAAAGGTAACGAAACAATTTGCCTTCTCTCGGTACGCTGAAACGTCGACACATGCAAGTAACAAAGAAAGGTTTCGAAACTGAAAAATAACTGCGTTTTTTCGGTCGTGCCGTGAACCGTGCCTGTGAAGCCCTAACATCATTTCTCTGAAATCTTCAAAAGTAGGAAAGTTGATTCAAATAGAGTAGTATAGTTGTGTAAATTCTCTGTTTCCAAGTTTTCGAAGTTCGTAGATCGTTTATCTGGAATTCTGAAGCATGCTAAGCAACTGGAGAGGCTCCCGACAGAAACTTCGCGCAACCGTAGAATCCAGAGGAGTGCAAAGTGTTTCTCCCAAGTATAGTTTTATTACTATAGAAAAATTAGAGAAATTACAGTAATTTCTTCTACGATACGAAGAGTGAAATTTGGGTTGCGAGAGGCGAGTTAGCGAGAAACAGTCGATTTCAGAAGCGAAAGTGGAGGGTTTCGAAGCGTTCCAAGGGCTTTACGCTTCGGAAGTTTCCGGCGATCTCGAATAATCCAGGAAATGATTGAGAAAAGCGAGGTAACTTGGCGCTGGAAATGACGTCAGGAGGCGAAAGTTCGTCGACGGAACGAAATTTTCACTCGAGACACCTTATTAATGCCCGATAAACGCTTCTCTGGAATTCTAGAGCGTATCAGTTGTTAACTATCGATAATCGAATCAATCGTTGCTTGATTAATCATGCCTTCGTTCGAAATTATTCTGTGTTTTATTAATTTCTCTCGAGGGAGGTTTTAGCCTGAAGATTCTCTGTCCTTTAGAAAAATTTTATATCTATCTTGGAGATTATTTAATTCTATATTTAGATTGCAGATTTTCTTAGTCTTTTATTTTGGAAAATTGGGATTAATGTGAAATGTGAGAGAGAAAGAAAATTTTACCTCTTGATGTAATTAAGGCCATCTTTCGTTTGAAAAATTAATTTTCTCGTGGAAGACTATCCTGAAGAAGGTTCAGTGTCCTGAGAAATTTGTATTTATATTGGAGATTCTTTATTTTCTTAGTTTTTTATTTTGGAAAATTGGGATTAATGTGAAATGTGAGAGAGAAAGAAAATTTTACCTCTTGATGTAATTAAGGCCATCTTTCGTTTGAAAAATTAATTTTCTCGTGGAAGACTATCCTGAAGAAGGTTTAGTGTCCTGAGAAATTTTCTGTTAAAATTTTTTATTTAGAAACATTGGGAGAAATGTGAGAAGAGAGAAAGAATGAAATTTCATCCCTTCATATAATCAATACTATCTTCCACGAAGAAAATTAATTTTTATCGTGGAAAATTTTATCCTGAAGAAGTTTTACAATTTTCTGTTTAAATTTTCCACTTTCCTAGATTTTATTTAAAAAAATTTGTGACAAACGTGATAATACGATAGAAATGAAA